ATGCAGAAAAGGGCCCGGCGACGTCGGCTATTTCGCAGCGTTTAGCGCTGGCCGCTGGCTTTGTTGCCGCCTTGACCGGGCTTCTTGCCCTGCTGTCCAGGTTGGCCCTGCTTGGCTTTGCCCGACTGGCCCTGTTGACCATGCTGTCCGGGTTGGTCTTGCTGGCCGGGCTGTCCCTGCTGTCCGCGCTGACCCTGCTTTTCGGGCTGACCCTTCTGACCCGCTTGACGCTGCTTCTTGTCGCCCTTGTTGCCTGCATCGATGTTCTGGTTCGCCTCTCCCTTGACGGTAAGGTGCTTTCCCGCAGGCACCCACACCTCGTCGATCACCCAGGTCTTTCCGCCGTCGAGCGTTCTCGGCGGGGCTTTGAGCTTTGCGCCGCCGGTGCACAGCCCGAGCTGGTCGAAATGCGGTTCTGGCGTGGTAAACTTGAGCACGATGTTCGAGTAGATCTGCGGTGAGACGGGCCAGGTGCAGTTCTTGCACTCCTGCGTAATGACAAAGCTATTCATGACCTGATCTCCTGCCGACCTTAGGTAGCTGACCATCTTGTCGTCGATCCACGACTCCTGGGTTCGGAATCCCATCTGCGTGCGGTAGACGACGGTCATGGGGGAATCGACCGGGTAAAAGACGGGCATGTCGCTGCCCATGCACATGTGGTCCTCGGCGTTGTAGCGAAAGTTGCTGTACTCGGCTGCGTAGACGCATAGACCCACGCGCGGGTTGGCCGCACATCCATCGCCGTAGAAGACAACGGTCTGGATGAGGTCCGCACGCACATTCGGGTCATAGTTCGACAGACCAGCCCAGAAGAACATGGCGTTGGGGCGGTTGTCGGGTCCAGCAGTGTGCTTGTGCATTCGCGTGTAGTTGTTGACAATCTCGCGTTCCTGTCGCTCGAGATGCGCCAGTCGCTCGCTGAAAGCAGGAAGGGCGCAACCGGCACTGTTGAGGCTGCTGCCAAACGTACCGTATCGAGCACGGTAGGTAAGCACGTCGATCAAGCGCGTGTGGTAGGACGCATCCAACACAGGCTCGTGGCTCAGTTCCTCCAATGAAACAACCTTGCCTTCGTCCTTGATGTCGCCTTGAGCCGGCTGCGGCTGAGGTGGTGGAGGTGGCGGATCGGCTCTGCGTCGAAGCCTGGAGGCCTGCGCTTCGGCGTCTTGATTGGCATTGTGCACGTCTGCAAACCACGTCGAGGGAGGCGCCTCGCCCGTGCGAAAGGTAAACGTCACCTCCTCGATGTTGCTCTGCGTTGGATCCCAACGACATCCAGAGCCGAACACGCTCTCTCCTGCCTGCACCTCGCCTTGGCCCTGGCTCTGGCTCTGGCTTCGGTCCACTGGTGCACCAGGCCCAGCTTGACCACTAACCACCCAAACGGCGCTGAAAAGAAGGGTGAAGATGACCGCAATCAGCATGTTGGCACGTCGGTCTTGGTCGAGGTGGAAGGCGAGCGAGCAAGGATGGGCGGATGTCGAGGGTCAGGATGCAATTCAACGCCCGTGGGTTCATTTACACCACTTCATCCCACCCCCATCGTGGCTGGGTGGGCCAAGTACACAAAGCACAACCACCCACCTCCAACTCGGGCTGCTGCTCATACGTCCAACCCACTCGTTGTGCACATGCAGAAAATGGTGTGTGTAAGACGGCGAAAGGCAGGCGCGAATCCCAACGACTCGCACTGCGAGCGGGCGATTGCGCGCGACTGCTCCCGTGAGGAGGTTGCGTGGCGTTTGACAAGGGTGACAGTGGGGAAGGGGGGTTACATGATGACAAGAAGAGGGAGTTGCAAATCCGTTGCGTTCCAATGAAAAGACGAGGGGGAAAAAGACAGCAAGGTGTTATGCGCGAGACCAGCTCTGCATTGCACCTTTGCTGTCCAAACATGCGTCGAACCAGCGACGAGCGTGTCTAGTTGTACGACAAGGGGTAGCCGTCCTTGAGGTTGACCTTGTTGCCGGTGAAGCAGCCCTTGATGTTGTGCATCCAGCCTGCGGCGTCGGGGTCGGCGTAGGAGCCGATGCCGACGCCCTTGAGCTTGGTGAAGAGGTTCATGTTGACGTCGACCGAGGTCCACTCGTTGGCGTCGCCAAAGTAGGCCTTGAAGCTGCCGCCGGGGCCCTCGATGACGAGCTCGCGGCCGCACCAGTCGGAGATCATGGAGTTCCAGAGGCCCTGGTTGGAGTAGTAGGTGACCGACTGGCCCGAGCCGTACGCCTGCGAGAGCTGCTGGAGCGGCAGCGCAATGATGGGCGCGCTCTTGTCAAATTCGACGCCGCACCAGGTGGTGGTCGCCTCGCCCTTCCAGTGCGGCTGGAAGGCGGTGGCGGTGAGATCAAAGCAGTTGCCCCAGGGGCTCTTGGGCGGAGCGGCACCAGCGCTGGACGAGGGCGAGCCAGCGGAGGAGCCGGACGACGATCCCGAAGACGAGCCCGAAGAGGCAGACGACGAGGCGGCCGCGCCCGACGAGGATGCAGTGGCGCTGGCCGAGGCCGAGGCCGAAGCAGAGGCGTGAGAGTGGCCCGAGGAGCCAGACGAGGAGCCAGAAGAGGAGCCAGCCGAGGAGCCGGCGTCAGACGAAGCGGACGAGCCGGCGGAAGATCCAGCGGAGGCGCCACCGCCCTGCTTGGGCTTGGTGTGGTTGGAAGCGTTGGCGGGCCGCTTCTTGTTCTTGCACACCTTTCTGCGCTGGGGCGGGTGGGCGGCGATGGCACGGCCGACGTGCTGATGCCTGTTGCTGAGCGACTTGGCCTCGGCCTCGGGTGCGTTGAAGCCAAGCGTGGCAAGCACGGCGAGCGATGCGACGGCAAAGAAGGAGGAGCGCATGTTGTCTATGGATCGAAAGGGTAGAGAGCACAGCTGTCTACGTGGGAGCGAGTGGATGCAGAGATGAGAGGTCCTGACCTCGGGAATTGGGGAGCAAAGGTGAATGTATGTGGAGCCAGCCACTGGAGAGAAGGGAGGAGAGAAGAGATGGGGGGAACACGCCGTCGAACGCAGAGAAAAGGGTCGAGATTTTGTAGGGTGAAGATGATGGAGGGAGGAGAAGGAGGAGGGACGCAGGGACGAGGGGTGAGGCGGCGTTGCGTACGAGGCCAGTCGGACAGCGTTCTGACAGGCGCGTTGAGTCTCAGCCCGCCGAGGCTGTCAAGCATCCATCCGCTCTGGGGCGAATGGCGGCGAGACTGCTGCTTGCAGCCGCCGCTAGGCTCGGATAGCGTAGGAGAGACCCCTCGAATTTGGCTGGCAATCGCCTCGTGGCCCAAAAAAAAAAAAAGCGACCGACTGAAAGCGCGTTGCCAGCGCGACGACGCTTCTCTTTTGCCATCGAATCCACAACCCGCACTGCACGGGAGCTTCCCTGTGGCACAGCGGCGACTGCACGCCTACATCGTATCAGCGCCTCGACGTTGGCGGTGTAGCATACACTAGCTCAGTGCGTGGCAAGGGAGGGACCAAGCGTACGACGCCTCCGGTTTCCCAGGCATGGCCGCCTCGTTGGCGCATCAAAGGGGTCGGTTGTCGCTGCACGTTGGCGCTGCGTCGGCGCTAACGTGCGGCCTCCCGGACGGCTAGGAGAATGCGAGCAGAGGCCGGCGGTGGTTGTGCTCGAAGGCTCGGTGGACCTCGATTGTTCTGCACGGCGCTGCATTTCGTGTTGCCAGCCAGTCAAGGCTCCTCCAATTCGGGGGGACTGGAGCCAGCGCCCCGGATTTGGATATCGGGCTGATCGAAAATCTACGCTCCATCGCCTGTCGCCTCACCACAAATCTCCGATCGGTTTGGCGAAAGGGATACAGCGGCCTAACATCGCGAGGCTTGAAAAATGCGCTTCCCGAAGCTGCGCCCCGTTCGCTCGGCTAAGGCTGTGCGGCGCCTCGCTGGGGCCAACTCCCGACTCGGCTGGTCCGAGTTAAGCTACAACAGCCGCCGGCTGCCGAAGGCACTGCATTATCAGTTGAACCTCCGCGCGAGAGCGGCAATCACCCCGGATCACCTCCATCTTTCGACAAGATCGATCATCGGACGGACACCATCCACATGGACTACACGATATGCCCACTGAAGAACACACACCCGCCTCGAGCGCCAAGCGCAAGCTCTGGGTCGCCTGCAACGCCTGCCGCTTTCGCAAGGTCAAGTGCGACCGCGAGCCTCGTCTGCAGCAGGGCTTTGCCGCCTGCACCAACTGCGATGCTTCATCGATAGAATGCCTCCTCACCGTCAATCCACCCAAGAAACGCATGGGGAAGCGCATGAAGATGCTCCAGGATCAAATGGAGGCGGACCAGCCTCCCGCACTACAGCCAGTCGAAGCCTCTGCCATCGCCATGTCTCCGGGTCTCTCGAATCTGCTAGGGGCGGCCGACACTACCGCGCAGCCTTCCGCGTCAGCCTCGACATTTCCGGACTCCACCACCTCTTCGGATGTCCCAATCATCCAGAATGGCCTCTTCACCGCTTTCGGCTCGTCAACACAAGACATCTTCCAAGTTGCGCCACTGCAGCATCGCCAGAGCACCTCGTCGTCCTCGACCGAGTCGATCTCGCCTGCCAACCCTGCATTTACACCCAAGTCCATCCAAGACCTCTCGCAATCGTCGTCCCCCGAAGCCATCTTGTCGCATGCCGCATTCCTTAGCAGCCGCATCGTCCAAGGCTCCAATCCACGACCTACAAAACGCAAGAATCCCTTTGATAGGCCCAGCCTGGAGAGCAGCGTGTCGAACCAGGTCGGCTTCGTCGGAGGCCTGCTCGGTATTGCCTCGCTCGACAAGCACCTGCTCGACGTGTGCACCAAGGCCTACTTCGATAGCATGGGCCAATGCATCGGCTTCATCCGCCCAGAGTGGTACTGGCCTCGCTACCATTCCTACTTTTCGCGCTTCGCAGGGCTCTCTGACCCCGGCTCCTCCTCTGCCGACAACGAACAGCCGTTGTCCGAGCTGTTGCTCATCGCCGTCGCCTGTCGCGGGTCAGGCGCAAGTCGGCTGGCCAACCGGTTCGAGCTGCAGACCGACCTGTACGACCACTACCGTCGCCTCATCAAGGATCGCCAACGCCTCGTACGAGACGGATTCGATGCGCTAGAGTCCATCATCCTCATGGTCGAACATGCCGACTCCACTCCCGCGCCTCTCGTCGACAACATGTCGGTCGAAGGCGTATTCGACATCAATCCCATCTCCCACCAAGGCATGATCCGCCTCACCAAAAAGTTTGAGCTGCATCTCGAAAAGCCTTTTGGCACACGCCTCGAGGGGCGCGATGGCATACGCCAGAGGATCCTCTTTTGGACAATCTACGTCTACGACGCCATTCGAAGCGAAGCCGGACGCACGCTTCCCTTGCTGCTCGACGAAGAGATCAGTCTGGAGCGCACCATGCCCACCGCCATGGACAACGGGCCGCTGTCGGCAAGGCTCAAGTTCCGCGATCACTTTGTGGATCTGGCCACGACGTGTCGCAAGGTGTCGCGGCGCATCCTTTCCGATCGGGCGCAAGGTCGCGGCATTGAGCCGGCTGATGTGCTCGAGGTGCTCGACGATCTGCAAGCGTGGCACCACAGCCTCAGTCCGCTCTTTGCGTGGGATTGGAACGACATGCTGCACATCACTGGCCCCACCGACGAAGAGGACAAAATCCGACGCACCTTTCTCATCTACCTCTTCCTCGGCCAGTGGCTCACGCTCCAATACGCCGTCCAAGAGATCGGCCTCTCGACCCACTGCGACGCGGCGCTCAAGCACAAGATGCAGGAAAGGCTGCGTGGCGAGATGGATGTCGCGCTGGATCGCCAGGTGCTCGTGTGCGACTACGCGGCGCTGTTCGGTATCATCCGGCTGCATCCGGGCATGATGCAGTCCTGGACCATCACCTGGGCGTCGTGGTGCATGCAAAAAATGCAGGAGATCGTCGCCAACGAGGCCATGGGTAGACTTGAATCTGCAAAGGCAGACCAGGCTTTCCAGCGCTACCTCTCGGCGGTGCTCTGCTTTGTCAATGCCACCGCCACCTGCGACAGCACGCCACGCACGCCCGAAACCGTGCAGGAGCTCATGAACACGCTCAAGAATGTCACCGATGCCCGCAGCTCGTTGCGTCTCAGCTTCGGGGCGGTCTAGCTCACCGCAATCATCACACACGATACCCGCGCCCAAGTTGCATTTGCTTGCTTGTGTTTGTGCCGGATGCACTGCGAGTTGAGGTGGAAGCGGAAGATCATGGATGTTAGGTCGAGTGTGCGAATGG